ACCTTTTCAAAACATTAGCTATTTTTAGAGGGATAAAACCCAAAGGACTTATATTAAATAAACAAACCAACAAGAACAAGAACATCAACAAAATGTACTGTTCCCTCCTTGGTAACTGTCCATTACGGACTTTCAAAGTGTCTCCATGTATCATTCTCACTCTTTCTAACTTGGTCCTCAACATTTACATTTTCAAGTTAATAGATATTTCATCAGAGATATCATTTAATTTTAAATTCTCTTTAAAAAAACATTTGATAATGGATATTTGGTCAGAAAGTTTTTATCATTTTTAGAAATCAAGTGTTTTAATTTACACACCTCAAAGGCAAATACACTCCACAATAAACATGTTAATTTACCGATTTAAGTGGATAGACTTGTGAGTTATCTGGACTTGGATTAGAATCTCAACTTAATCATGTGTGATCTCTGAGACCATGAAAATGAGTCCTTAGGGAAAATCAGGAAGGAATATCAATAAAATGAAGCTCTAGGAGACTTAACAATTGGGAATATTTGACAAGGATGTTTATATAATAGATGTCATCAGGAAAAATTAATGAGATGAAAGTTATTGTATTAGTCACAAAGTATGAGTATTTGGACAAGTTATATATTCTCCTTGAATCTTATTGTCTATCTATAAAATGAGCACAGTCATGTCAAATTCACAGAGTTTGTAAAGTTCTAAATTCAGTGCTTAGAACAAAGATCCCAATTAAGAAGTTTTCTTCTTGTCCTGGCTGGTTTGGCTCAGTGGATGGAGCATAGGCTTGCGGACTCAAGGCTCCCAGGTTTGATTCTAGTCAGGGGCATGCACCTTGGTTGCCAGCACATCCCCAGGAGGGGGTAAGCAGGAGGTGACTGGTGGATGTTTCTCTCTCATCAATGTTTTGGATTCTCTATCCTTCTCCTTTCCTCTCTGTGAGAAAATCAATAAAATATACTTTTAAAAAAGAAGTTTTCTTTTTCCTCTTCTTATCCTTCTCCTTTCTGTCTTCCTTTAATCCTTTCATCCTTTCTTTGATTCTTTCTCCTTCTGCTCTTCTTCTATTTCTCTTTTATCACTTATATGTATATTTTCTTAGGTTTAGCACTTTAGATATTTAACCTACTGTATCAAGTCTAAATGTTATGTTGTTCCCAATTTTTCATATTATTCCCACATTGCATATTATTAAAGATATAGGGTTTTTAAATTCTTAAATATTACTACTTCTTTCCTGAATGAAACATTTCTCTTGGGTCTTTATACCACTTTTGTAACAGTTCACAAATGCAGCCCATGATCACAAGGAGGAGGACGTTTGCTAGGCCTAATAATATTTAGAATCTGGAACCAATGGGGTCAAGATCATGGATTTTCTCTTTGCACTTTACATAGGCAACAACTTTCCTTAAAATGGCACACTTCATCTTTTGTGGGCATTGTTTCATGGGGTTAACTAAGGAAGAAAGTATATACATACAGTTTTTGTCTTCATTTGTTATTACTTTAGATAGAGCAATTCCAAGGGCTTATTCTACTGAGTGGACATGAAGCATCCCCATAAGAATGTAAATGTATCGAGACCAAACAATATTTCCTTTATTTATCTATATTTGTTTTTATTTTATTTTAATAAACATTTGAGTATAAAACTTTAGATTTACAGAGTTGTAAAAATACCACAGAGTTCCCACATACCCAATACCCAGGTCCCCATGTTGTTAACATATTACATTACTGTGGTGCATTTGTCAGAACTAATGAGCTAACATTGATGCATCACTATTAACACACTTTATTTGGATTTCACTAGTTTTTCCATGTCCTTTTTCTGTTTCAAGAATATATACAGAATACTACATTACATTTAGTCTCCCCGATTCCTTAGTCTCCTTTGTTCTGTGAATGTCACAGTATTTCCTTGTTTTTAATGGTTTTGACAACTCTTGAGCAGTGCTGATCAGATAATTTGTAGACTGTCCCTTTCCCCTCCAATGTTTTTCTCATGGTTAGGCTGGGGTTATCAGTCTGTGGGAGGTCTTCTGTTTGCTTTTATGTTCTGATTGTATTTTGTCTGGCTAAGAGTTCAAAAAAAGCTGGGTGTAAGGCAACATTTGGGATCATCCTGCTTTATTTAGCTCTCCTTGATCAGTTTTACCCAGTAATTGAGATGAAAGATATTCAGATAGCTATTGGAGGAGATGAGATGATGTTAACAAATAACTATGCAAAATAGAAGAAAATATTTTAACATATTCTCTATGCAAAATTCCTTCCTACATATATTTTCTTGAGTCTCCTTTTGCACCAAAGACAACTGCTAACCACATATTATTCTCCAATATGTTTCTTTCATTTTGTATAGGAAAGGTCAACCTGGAAATATACATCAAACCTGAACAAAAACATCCTCTTTTTCTATGTAACATACCAGTGCTTGAAGTTTGCTCTTCCAGCATTATTTGTTTAATAGAAGTATTTTCCATACCACCTGGTTCTGGCAGAAAGTCAAAATTTGCATTTATATGAGGTAGTTTATCAAATATAACATACAGAAGTCTGTTAAGTACACATTGCATTTTGTTTGTGAGAAAATCTGTTTGTATTTAATGTAGTTTTTAAATTAACCTTAATGAAAGCTTCTGAAAATTGTTGTTCTAAGCATTTGAAATATGCAACAAAAACCGGTGGAAGACATAAACATGTTTTCCATTATATGTTATCAGATAGCCCAAAATTACTACAAAGAAGAATGTGGGACTATTTTAAATTAGAAAGATAAGCAAGCATTGAGTTAAAAGCAAAGGTCTTTAGAACAGAAAAGCATCTAACACAGTTAACCCCAAACATCTTATAACAATCTTCAGTGAGAAGTATTATAACATTTTAAAGTTAGAATGTTATTATAGACAGAAACAAGGATTATTTGCACCAAACCTAACATTTTAATTCTCTAAATCTAATATTTGCCAAATACAGACTCACCTAAGGTTTCCTAAATTAGGGAAAAAGGTAATTGAAACATAAACCTACCTGGCTGTCTCCCCTAAGATAATAGTTTGGTCTCCTCTTTCTCTCTCTCTCTTTTTTTCCCCCACTGTCTTTTCATTTCTCATATCATACTTAATGTCTTTTTACATTTCAACATATCCCATGTGATTTTCTAATAGAGGGCTCCCAGCAATAGATATAAGATAAACATTTATTTCTAATAGATCTTGTTTTTATCAACTGTGGCAAATTCAAGTGTCTTTTAGTCTTGGACAAATTATTTACATGAATGGGGGTAGCTAGAGAGATACCAAGGTGGAGAGGAAATCACAGAGCATGTCTTCAAAGGAGGAAATTTTAACTCAGACCCATTCCATCTTTGTTGTGTAAAAGGAGATGCTCAGTATTTTTAGATAGTGGGTATTTTCAATTATAGCCAGATATACAGATATTTATATAAAACCACATAATTTTAAAATGTAGAAATGAACTTTGAAATATTTTATCATATTATGTAAACCAAACAAATATTCAGGATGAGGCAAAAATAGGTTTATAGTTGTTTATATGGAAAATACTATAATAATTAATAAACAATCATATATAGTCGTGTACTCACAACTGTAAACCTTCTCTTGTCCCACTCTGTATATGTCTGGTGCTAGTTTGCAACCTGTGTTATGAAGTAGAAGAAATAATGTTAAATAATCTCCTAATTCAAGCAAAGTCATTATTTCCTTTAGCAAATATATCTCTGTGACTAAAAAGCCATGGGATATTTAGAAATAAATAGTATGTTATTCAGAGGTACTGCTCTTTGATGCTTATAGCATTTGACAATGTCTGGATTATGGTCCTTAATCATAGAATCTGTTACACCTTAGATCACAAACTTCTCTGAAGCCATTGCAGTGTTACTCTGATAATTTTAAAAAAATCATACAACAGAGATTTTATGCAATACTTTTCATCTTTGATTAAGCTATGTAACAGTGTTAGTTTCCTAAGCCCTCATCTCCTAATCTTGTTTGTTTCTTCATAAACTTTATCACATGGGAGTCTAATCTAAAATATTTAATTTACAAAAATGATACACAGATCATTTAATTATCCATATATTTCTTCTTTGATTTGACATGAGCAGAAGGCACATTTTGTTCTAAACCATCATAGGTACTAATTTAGTGTCCTGGTGGCTTTGGTTGGGATAAGAGAGAGGTATGTGAAGCTATGAATTTCTATGCTAAGCTTTGTCAAGAAAAACAGCACAGACCTCAATCTTTCCTTATAGTCACAAAGGTGGAAAACTTTAACTTTTCTTCTCCCTTATATTAGTACTAGAGGCCCAGTGCACAAAATTCATGCAGGGGTGGAGGGTGTGTCCCTCAGCCCAGCCTACGCCCTTTCCAATCTGGGATTCCTCAAGGGATGTCTGACTGCCAGTTTAGGGGCATTAATTCCAACCATTAGGAAAATCACACAGGATGTCTTTGACATACAAACAGTGTGGTTTTATGAGTTATTTCAATAATAATGGCCATTTCTTTAGATAATATCTGCTTACAGACAATACAGCTGGTACTATGTGAATTCAGAATGTTATTATCATAAAATCATAGGTTGTAGTGGAAATAAACTTGAATTGTCTAGTTCAGTGGTTGGCAAACTCATTAATCAACAGAGCCAAATGTCTAGAGTACAACGAGTGACATTTCTTTTGAGAGCCAAATTTATTAAACTTAAACTTCTTCTAACACCACTTCTTCAAAATAGACTTGCCCAGGCCGTAGTGTTTTGTGGAAGAGCCACACTCAAGTGGCCAAAGAGCCGCATGTGGTTCGCAAGCCACAGTTTGCTGACCACAGATCTAGTCCAAACTTTTATAAATATTGGAATTCCCTTTTCAAAGATTTTGAATGATTTTTGTCCTAAGAAGCTTAACCAAATAAAAGCAACCCATTTTCTGTGAAAGGACTGGGGTACTCCAGTGGCAGGTGCATCTTGTGTCTGGCTGCACCGTGTATCTGCTACCCCCCCCCCCCCCCGCTGGGCTGAAAGGGCTGAAGGGACTGGGTGCCACCATCTTTGTGATGACTTGACGGTCAATTTGCATATTCCATCTTTATTACATAGGATATTTCAGTGCCCTCTGACAAGTTAGAAAGAACATAATAGAACTGAATGGATATGAGTCGTATGCATTTTCCCTCCTCAACTCTAGCCTAACATAGTTCTAAAAGGAATAAGCTTTGTGTTCTTTGCCACTTTTATTATATTCCCAAATCTTTCCATGAACCAAAGTCAACATCTTTAATATAAGAATGATGTTACATACTGATTATTATTTCAAGAATGCATTTGAAGTGTGATTTAATGTGTTTGGGGGAGATCTTAAAAGATAAAAAGGGTTGTTCCATGAGGATTTAGGAGTTAGATATATTTTAATGTAAATAATTTTTCTTTGTAAGTCTTTTAAACTTAAATTACATTTACAGGAATTTTATCTCAAATTATAATGTAAAACCTCCATCCCTGACACCTCAGCAGGTCTGGGAGAAGTTATACTTTGTATACATGCAAATGTGTGACTTTGTCTATTAAATTTGTGAGACAGCACATGGAACACATGCTCATGTATTATTATAAAACTGAAGTATCGTTAACTCATCTGAATAACTTCAAAAACTCTAGCACAGCTTTTAGAATAATTCCAGTAATAGAAAAGTTTTGTCCTTTGTTCATAGTTATAATGTCTGAAAAATAGCCATGCCTGATAATAAAACAGATAAACTTAGATTGGGCCATACACTGATTTACAAAATAAAAGATTAAAATTCAATTTCTCCATTTAACAAACATCTACTAAAAGTCTATATTATGCAAAGAAAACAATACAAAATAGAAACCTCACTATAAAAGTTTTATAGGTTCATAGTTTTAAAGAGTGTAATGCTAGTTTGAAGGTATATGTTTTGGCATACCTTAAATAATAGAGTTAATTCATTTTATTGCTTTTAGCCATTCTAGCATAACATAAAATGTTTTTAATACTAAAATTATTAAGCCATTATATTATTTTATATGGGTATTATCTAGATTAATGGCACCTTGACTAGTAAAAAAATTATATGAATTTAATTGTATAAAGTTTACAGTCAGATAAAATTTGAATTTATTACTCTTATCAATGTCTAAGTTTATAGTCTATGAATCATCAGCTCTAGAATCACCCACCAATACTTGTTAAAAACATAAACATTAGGCACCATGCTGAAATAACATTTTTGCCACCACCAGGTAATTCTCTTATACACACAGAATTGAGACGTATTGGTTTAGATATCCAAAAATCATTATGATGATTTTATCACTTCTCCAGCGGGCAGGTCTCAAAAATCCTTCACGGCAAGGTGGAATTTTACCATTAGCTGTTTGCTGTATTGACGTGTTCCTATTTGTTAACCATTACATTAGAGCCACTAGATTTTCTTCAAAACCCACTTGATAAATTTCTATTTTCTGTGAAGCACCTATTTATATTACTTAGTAAATTCTGTGTTTTTTTTAAATGTAAATGTAACCATAATATCCCTTCCATAACATATCTTTTCAAAAAAATGTCAGGTGGCTTGATACAGTATAAATGATGACAAAATTATTATTTTGGCATTTAATTCTCTCTCTGTTAATATTTAAGGGAAAAGATACCATATGATGCTTTTGCTTTTCTGTGTTTTGATCCAGGTTTGTTCAATGGGACCTTAAAAGAGGACTCTAAACTGTACATCATTCTGGTTATAACAAAGACAGAACCAGTAATCTTCCACTTCAGATATGTTCTTAAAGTGTATTTTATCTTCCTACAATACAAAATCTCTCATAAAATGAAGGAATTAATATTTCCGTACTAAACCTTCTCTGATTATAAAGAGAAATTCAAATAATTTAATAGAAATATTTGCCTATCCTCCTGAAGGTTCAAATGACTAGTTATTGTATAGGAACAGCTAGCTCTAATCTGCTTCATAAGAAACATACTCTGTTAGTGCACAATAGCTAATATCAGGTTACTAATAGATTTAACCTTGTAAGTCCATAGATATTTAAAAGTTTTATCATGTGAAGGTCAACTTGTCTGTCTTACCATAAAAGAAAGGAAAAGAAATGAATAAAAATTAGAAAGAATTAATTCTTCAAAAAGTTTTTACAAATCAAAACCCTGCAGTTTCACACTGAGAACAAAAAAAGCATATTAAACACCAAAGTTTATCAAGACAAATTAGGCCCCAGTTTCAAATTTTCTTTAATCTTTTGCATCTGAACGGATTTTTTTTTTTGGGGGGGCCTCATGCTGTTTTCCCTAGTTAAATGTTAAAATGAATTCTACCCAATACCATTGACTTCCTCCCTTAAAAATATTGAGACACATAATAAAAAATTAATTACTTCCCCTAATTTCCGTGTGATTCTTTAAAAAGATGTAAAATTCATTTAAAGTAAGTGGTGACTTTGTCTTTGAAGATCACGACAATTAACATGGATCAAAGCTTAGGTTCTGTAACGATGATAGCTTATTAGCATAATGAAATTAACTTAGAGACAAGAATCTTTAATAGGTACAACAAAAATGCTTTAATAATACTTGAAGAAAATTATGTATTTGCTAGAAGTACAACAGTTTCAGATTTTCTATCCAATTAATAAGTTATTAATTAACTCCTTTTCCAAACAATGCACACTTTAAGTTAACATCTGCCCATTAAAATATTCTGTCTATTGAGCTTCATCTTTTTGAGGAAATTGCAGTTTTGTTGATGATACTTTGTATTTCCTAGTTATGAAGAACATTCAGGTTTTACCTTCCATACCATAGATCCAATATTATTATTATTAAAATAAAAGAAGGCTTAATATCATACACTGAGAAAGGAATGAAGATGTCAGTGTATGATTGCATCATGTTTGGTAAGTCATACTTCAAGTCTTAATTTCAAGGGCAAATATTTTTCTAACAGCTTTGGGATCCTTAAAATATTTAACCAAATGTTTCAACCCAAGGAAAAATGACTTTATTCATTAAAAAAATGCTAATAATTTTGATCTGAGGGTACATGTTGAAACCTCTTGGTTTGAAAAATCAGTAAAAAAAAAAAAAAAAAGCTGTATTTCTAGCATCAAATTTTAAAAATTATGCTGTTAAAAGTGTATTTTGTCAGTTCTTTGTTTATTCATTCATCAACCAATATTTATTGATCACTAATGTTTATTGAATGTGCCATGCATTACTAGTATGCGTTACCTAACATAAAAAAAAAGGTGAGGGGATGTCCCAGACAGTGTGGCTCAGTCGTTGAATGTTTACCTATGGACTAGTAGGTTGTGGTTCAACTCCTGGTCAGGGCACATGCCCAGGTTGCTGGCCTGATCCCCAATACAGGGCATGCAGGAAGCAGCCAATCAATGATTCTCTGATCATTGATGTTTTTATCTATCTCTCTACTTTCTCTCTGAAATATATTTTTAATTTATTTTTCTTTTTAAAGTTGAGGGGCTGTGTTTTAATAGGTGGTATTTTTTAACCCTGCATTGAGGAAGTCTATGGGCATGGATTTTCTAATAGCATTGCTTACTATGTATCAGTTTTGGTAATTCTCACAATATTTCAAACTTTTCCAGTATGATTATATTTGTTACGGTGACCTGCAATCATTAAACATTGATATTACATCATAATTGTTTTGGGGGTGCCATAAACCCAACCATATAAAATGGAAAACTTAATAAACATGTGTATTCTGACTGCTCCACCAACTGGCTGCTCCTGATCTCTATACCTCTTTGGGCTTCCCGAATCCCAAAACAAAAAAAAGAGTGAAATTAGGTGAGTTAATAATCTTATAATGCCTTTAGGTACTCAAATCAAAGGATAAGTCACATGTTTCTCACTTTAATTCAAAAGCTAGAAATGGTTAAGCTTAGTGTGGAAGGCATGTTGAAAGCTGAGATAGGCTAAAAGCTAGGCCTCTTATAACAATTAGCTAAGTTGTAGATGCAAAGGTAAAGGTCTTAAAAGAAATTGAAAGTGCTACTCCAATGAACACATGAATAAAAAAGTGAAACATCCTTAGTGCTGGTTAGAAGAAACTTTTAGTGGCCTGAATAGATCAAATTAGCCACAATATTTCCTTAAGCCAAAGCCTAATCCAAAACAAGGCCCTAACTGTTTTTACAATAATTCTATGAAGGCAGAGAGAGGTGAGGAAGATGCAGAAGAAATGTTTGAAGATACCAGAGGTTGGTTCATGAGGTTTAAAGAAATAACCCATCTCTATAACACAAAGTGCAAGGTGACGCAGTGAATACTGGTATAGTAGCACAGCACGTTATCCAGTAGGTCTAGTCGAGATCATGAATGAAGGTGGCTACATTAAACAACAGATTTTTCAATGTGGATGAAAAAGCCTTACACCGGAAGAAGATACTATCTGGGACTTGCATAACTCGATAGGAAAAGTCAATGCCTGGCTTCAAAGCTTCAAAGGAAAGGCTGACTCTTGTCAGGGGCTAATGCACCTGGTGACTTTAAGTTACAGCCAACACTCATTGACTCTTCTGAAAATCCTGAAGCCCTTAAGAATTATGCTAATTCTACTCTGACTGTGCTCTATAAATGGAACAACAAAGCCTGGATGACAGCACATCTGTTTACAACATGGTTTACTGACTATTTTAAGCCCCTTGTTGAGATCTACTGCTCAGGAAAAAAAAAGAAAAACACACACACACACACACAAAACACAAAAAAATTCAAAATAATACTATTCATTGACAATGCACCTTGTCACTCAAGAGTTCTGATGAAGATGTATGAGATTAAAATTGTTTTCATTCCTGCCAATACAACATTCACTCTGCAGCCCATGGATCAAGGAGTAATTCTGAATTTCAAGACTTACTATTTAAGAAATACATTTCATAAGGCTATAGCTGCCACACATAGTGATTCCTCTGATGGATCTGGGCAAAGTAAATTAAAACCTCCTGGAAAGGATTCACCAGTTCAGATGCCATTGAGAATATTCATGATTCATGGCAAGACGTCAAAATATCAACATGAACAGGAGTATGGAAGAAGTTGATTCCAACCCTCTTGGATGAATTTGAGAAGTTCAAGACTTCAGGGAGGAAGTAACTGTAGATGGGGTGGAAATAGAAAGAGAACTAGAATTAGCGTGAAGATGTGACTAAATTGCTACAATCTCATGATGAAACTTTAATAAATAAATGGTTGCTTTTTATGCATGAACAAAGAGAATGGTTTCTTGAGATGGGATCTACTCATGATGAAGTTGCTGAGAAGACTGTTGAAATGATAACAAAAGATTTAGAATATCATATCAACTTAGTTGATAAAGCAGTGGCAGTGTTTGAATGGACTGACTCCAATTTTGAATGAAGTTCTATTATGGGTAAAATATTGTCACATACTACAGAGAAATTGTTCATGAAAGGAACAGTCAATCTATGGAGCAAATGTCATTGTTGTCTTTTCTTTAATATATTTTATTGATTTTTAGAGAGAGAGGAGGGGAGAGGGATAGAGAGATAGAAACATTGATGAGAGAGGAACATCATCAACTGGCTGCTTCCTGCATGTCCCCTAATGGGGATTGAGTCCACAACCCAGGCGTGTGCCTGACTGGGAATTGAACCGTGATTTCCTGTTTCATGGGTTGATGCTTAACCACTGAGATACACTGTCTGGGCTCATTTTTTTCATTTTAAGAAATTGTCAGAGCCAACTCAACTTTTATCAGCTATCATTCTATTTCCACCCCATCACTCACCTGTCAACTCTGGGACAAAACCTTTCACCAGCAAAAATATTGCAACTTCTTGAAGACTCTAATGATGGTTAGAATTTTTTAGCAATAAAGTATTTATATTCAAGGCATGTACATTGTTTTTTTATATATATAATTCTATTGGATACTTAAAAGTCTACAATAATGTATAAAGATAAATTTTATATACACTGGGAAATCATAAAATTGTAACTTGCATTATCACAATATTTGCTTTATTGTTGTGGTCTGGAACTATAAGTATTGCCAAGATATGCCTGTATCAGAAACAATAGGACATTACTAAAATAGAATCTTCACAGGTTACAAAACCACCTTGTTGGTATTCTAAAGCCCACCACCGTTCAGTTTGAGGTTGGGGATATCTTTCTGAAATGCACTCAAATCATGTCACCCATTCCATCTTGACATTCAATTCATTATCGTGCTTTACAATATGTCTTAATTTGCATAGCTTATCACAAGACCCTTTGTTATCTGGGGCTGCAAGGGAAGCCCGAGTCCCAGGTGCCTCCCAGCGGCCAGAGGGAAGCCCATGTCCTGGGTGCCAGAGGGAAGCCAGTGCTGGAAGCTAGGAGAGGAAGGCCTACTCTTGCATGAATGTCATGCTTTGAGCCTCTAGTGTAATTATATAGTTCATCATGCAAACACTGATCTGTAATTACAATGGAGGTAAGTGCCCTTGAGTGGAATGGAACCCAGAACCCTTTGGTCCACAGGCCAATGCTCTAACCACTGAGCTCACTGGCTAGGGCTTACGTTTTGTTTGTTTGTTTGCTCATTTTTACCATAATAATATTCTTCTCAATACCTTTAACTGTATTATTACTAAACCTCAGAAATTGATTGAAGTAGGGTTCCTTTCAAGGAGACACACACACACAGTGTCCAAGGGCTGACATAGTGAGAAAAATAAGGTATGTTAAAGTCTTAACTTCTAGGTGACCAATGTTATTGTAGAAGACTACTAGAAAAAATAGGGTTTTCAGTTTGTGTATATGATACAATTTGAGGCAGAATCTGAATACTGATGTGGAGATAGATCATTTCAGCTGTTTTAAAATATTCTGTTAAAGCTGACAATTATTTTTAATATTTCTATTTGATTTTGCATGGCATAAATTATGTATATATGTATTATTTTTAATTAAAGATTTTCAAATATATGCAGATGTAAAAAGGATAATATGCCAATCATTTACATCCTGAATTCAACAATTGCCAACTTCAAATTTTACTATTATATTAGACAATATTATCCTATGAATCTCCATTCTCCCACTTTTGCTGTTGTTGATGATATATTTAGCTGGAATACTTTAAAACAAATTCCAGATAGTATGTAATTTTAGCTATAAGAAGTTCAGTATCTATTTCTAAAAATAAAAATCATTTAAACATAACATTTAAATGATTAAATAATTACTTATTAATATCATCATTACCCAGTCCACACTTAATTTTCTTTAAGCTTTTTTTTTAGATGGTGTGTTCAAATAATGATAAAAGAAGATTTACATTTTTCATTTGTTTAAAATGGATCTTAAGTTTCACTTAATCTTTAACAGTTGCTCCATTCTTCAGTTGAAGAAACTGGGTCATTTTTCATGTTGAATTTCTCTTATTCTTTATATGACTGATTATTATTATTTTTTTAATATATTTTACTGATTTTTTACAGAGAGGAAGGGAGAGAGATAGAGAGCTAGAAACGTCGATGAGAGAGAAACATCGACCAGCTGCCTCCTGCACACCCCCTACTGGGGATGTGCCCGCAACCAACGTACATGCCTCTGACTGGAATCGAACCTGGGACCTTTCAGTCCGCAGACCGGCACTCTACCACTGAGCCAAACAGGTTTCGGCTGATTATTTTTCTTATATTGGCATTTAACCTTTTCCTTTTTTTTTCAGATTTCTTATAAACTGGTGAATAAAGTTAGAGTTTTAAATATAAACATATTAATATTTTTGTTGTTATTTGTAAGTCAAAAATTGTTCATGGTTAGTGGTGTGTGTGTTTCTTATTGTACTATATTAGGATCCATCTAATGGTCTAGTTGTACTGTGTTTTTTTAATACATTTTATTGATTTTTACAGAGAAGAAGAGAGAGGGATAGAGAACTAAAAACTTCGATGAGAGAGAAATATCAATCAGCTGCCTCCTGCACACCCCCTACTGGGGATGTGTCTGCAACCAAGGTACATGCCCTTGACCTGAATCAAACCTGGGACCTTTCAGTCCACAGGCCGATGCTCTATCCACTGAGCCAAACCGGTTTTGGCTAGTTGTACTGTTTTTTACTTAAGCTAATATTTAGTGGTTTTATCAAGTTGTTCAGGTATTGTCAGTTTGATACAGCCATTATAAAATTCCCCATTGAAATATTCATTCAAATTTTGGTATATATTATAGATAATTTTATTAGCAGTTACAAAACTGATTTATTTATTTTTTCCTTTCCTAATGGAATTTTCCCCTCATATTAAAAAATTGGTTTCTTTGAAATATACACTGGAGCAAACTGGAATGGAACTGGGTGGTATCCATATTGGGCTTAGTAAAAATATTTAATCATTTTTTTCTTTATGTAATATAGCTGTGATAAGAACAAATTCAAAATATTCAGAGATGTGATCAATATTGAATTTTTAAAACTTCTCAATGAAATATAAAATATTATAAAACTAGAGGCCCAGAGCATAAAACTTATGCATGGGGCAGAGGGTGTCCCTCAGCCCAGCTTGCACCCTCTCCAATCTGGAATGCCTCAAGGGATGTCGGACTGGTAGGATCCTGGTGAGATTAGGCTTAAACAGGCAATAGGACATCCCTCTCACAATCTAGGACTGCTGGGTCCCAACTGTTCACCTGCCTGTCTTCCTGATTGCCCCTAACTGCTTCTGCCTGCCAGCCTGATAACCCCTTAACTACTCTCCTACCAGCCTGATTGATGCCTAACTGCTCCCCTGCCAGCTGTTTGCTTGTAACTGTCCTCTCCTGCAGACTTGGTCTCCCGCAACTTCCCTCCTCTGCTGGCCATCCTGTGGTGGTCATCTTGTGTCCACATGGGGCAGCCATCATTGACCACATGAGGGGGTAGCCATCTTTTGTGTTAGAGTAATGATCAATTTGCATATTACTCTTTTGTTAAATAGGATATATATTCCTGTAAGTATAGTGGAGTGTATAATGAACCTTTGAACCAATTTTGCATTACTCTAATAAACCCCAATTAGTCATGATATATAACTCTATTTATTGTTGAATTCTACTTGCTAATATTATGTTAAGATTTTTGTGTCTAATTTCATTACATTTGATGCTAATTTTCTTATTTTTTACTGCCTTTGTCAAATTTGTGTATTAATATAATATTAGTTTCATAAGATGAATTCCAATGTATCCCCTTCTTTCTTTCTTCTTTTTTTCTTTCTTTTTTCTTTTTTTTTGAAGAGACTGTATATAATTTCTGTTAATTCTTTTTTTTAAATTCTATAGATATTTGCAGTAAAATTATTTAGGCTTGCCAATTTCTTTTTCATGTGTTTTTAAGTTATGAATTTAATTTTCTTAGTAGTTATAGAACAACTCAAATGATCTGTTGCATATTTTGTAATTTGTGGTTGGTTGTGCTTTTTATAAAATGGGTTTATTTCATATAAGTTGTCACATTTATTAGAGTTGTTCAGACTATTTCATTATTTTCTTTGGTGTCTCTAGATTTTGTAGTATGCTGTTTACTAGTGATATTGGAAATTTTTGCTTTTTATTTTTATTTTTTTGTCAGTTGATAAGTTTTATTCATCTTTGCAAAAAAATGCTTTTCCCCATTGTTTTTCTCCATTTCATTTTATTGATTTATGATATTATCTTCATTATTTCCTTTCATCTGTTTGCTT